AAAGAATGTTGAGCTCATTATTCTTGAAATAAATACATTACTTCGTTTAAAAAGTACGAAAACACAATGCTAATTTAGTAATTTTAATCAAAAACGAAAAAAATTTCTTCTATATTCTTTTAAATAAAAAAGTTAAAGATATTATTAAAACAACATAATTTTATTAAGAATTTAGAAGGTATATAAGTAAGATAGAAGACTAAAACTAGAAATTTTCGATACTTTTATATTTGAAAATTCTCAAAACTATTGATTAAAAAAATCACTACTTAAATATATAAATACTAACATTCTTGGTTCTAATTATTTATCAATAGTAAGAGTTATATAATTGTGAAGCAGCTACCACATACAAAACTAATTCTAAGGTTATTTTAGAAGATAGATTATTATATAATTATTATTATCCATATATAATCCTACATTTTTGTTAGTTAAAGAATTATAAAAGTTGAAAAAATCATCTTTAAAATAAAAATATTTTTGAAGTAATCTCTTATTTTCATCCTAAAGTATAACATTATGTTCTTATATTTAAAAAATGTGAATATATATATAAAATAATTATATAAGAAATTTAAGTGATTTAATAGAATTAGAAATAATATTAATATAAAATGAGTGTTATAAGAGTAAAATGCTAAAAGGAATAACATGAGTTTGTAGAATTAGCTTGCTTAAATAAATAATGTAAAGCTAATAGAATTTATTGTCATTAATGTCTTAAAAATGGAGATCATGTCGCTCATCCAAAAGATTAAAAGAATTTAATTGAATTAATAGACTATTTTCATAATCTTGGCAAGGAAAGTGAGAAACTAATATAAAATTTATGTTTAATGGTAGAATAGTTAAAGGATTTAATGTTTTAATTAAATTAAGAATTGAGAACAAAATATCAATTTTCTAAAGAAAGATTGTAATCATTAAATACAAAACAATTGAATTAGGCTTTAGATTAGATAATTCAATATGATGATATTTAAATCATTATAAAAAATCAATTACAAATATGTTCAGATAATATGATCAAATAAATTCAAATACAAATGAATGAATTGAAATTAGATCAAGTAAAAATATATTAATTAAATCAATAAGATCAACAAAAAGTAAAAGAACTATATTAATAAGGTATTCATATCATTTATTTAGCATATAATTTATATTATGATGATAAATATGAAGAGGCAATCAAAATATTAGATGCTGCATTACAAATTGATCAAAATCATTTGGATTCACTATATTTAAAAGGTATTAAAACTATATGTAAATAAATTAGCTAAATGTTTAACATGGCTAAGTAATTACAAAGATGCAATTATATGGACTGATAAAGCTTTGTTGATTAATTCAAATCATTTGGATTCATTATCTACAAAAGGTATTAAAAACTATATGTAAATGAATTAGCTTAATGTTTAAGATGGCTGAGTAATTACAAAGATGCAATTATATGGGCTGATAAAGCTTTGTTGATTAATTCAAATCATTTGGATTCATTATCTACAAAAGGTATTAAAACTATATGTAAATGAATTAGCTAACTGTTTAAGATGGCTGAGTAATTACAAAGATGCAATTATATGGGCTGATAAAGCTTTGATGATTAATTCAAATCATTTTAATTCATTATCTACAAAAGGTATTTCTACATTTCTAAAATAGGTGATTCATTACTGCAATTGGGGGAATATGAAGAAGCTCTTAAGATTATTGACTAAGCACTGAATTAATCTCCAAATTCTCCTTACACGTTATACTTAGGAGGTTGATTATATTTCTATTTTGTAGGAGAATGCTTAAAATCATTACAAAGATTTGAAGAAGCAATTGTTTATTATGATAAGGCTCATTAGATCGATCAAAATTAGACATTATACAAAAATGCCAAAGGTATACGAAGTATATATATATATCTAGCTGAATGTGAGAAAAAAATTGATAATTATAAATGCGTCTAGTGATTATTGAATAAAAGCTATTAACTAATGCCAAAATTGCACTACTCTATTCTATAATAAATATGTATTTGTCTATAAATTTAATGAGGTTGAAGTTCAATATACTTCAAATTTACAAATGATAGCAATTTTGCAACATCATTTTTTTTGTGTTACGGAATAATTATAGTGTTGATTATTTCAAAATTAATATATTTTCATAACAAACGCAACAAATTTCTATTGTAATAATTTGAAATAATGCAAATATAAAATAATATATATGAAAAATAATAAATATTTAGAAATATCAGACTTATCCATATGTCATATCACGATCCATATTGATAGAAACTTCCCCTCTAAAACCCAATCCTTTATTAATCAACGTAGGCTCTTGAAAGAACCTATCATGTGCTTATTGACAAAGTTTTGAATTACATCATGGCTGGATGAATAAGACCAACAAGATCCTTTCTAGAGGAAATAATAGACAACTCACAAACGAAGGGCTGAATAGCAATTAGGCAAGCAAGGAACGCAAGTAGGAGCTATTACAAAAAACTAGAATAGATGCGCTCTCATTAGGACGTACCTTTCGAAAATTTGCTTGTGTAATGTTCAGAAAAGCTTATTTTATTAATTGATCTGAGGAGATTGATATTCTGGATACATTATGGATCATCATACACCATCAGATATTCTTAGTCTATTGGAAATATAATCTGCTTATCAGACCTCTTTTAAAAACTTAGCAAAGTATGCAGAAGATAGGAATGCTAGTTTCGACATCTAAAGAAGGTGTCCTAGCTGAATGTGGAGTATCCTGGTACTCCTACGCAGACATAAATAATCCAAGAACGAAATGATAATGGGAGTCAAAAGGAATGCACCCTACCAAAATAAAAATAACTGGGGCTGGATATTTGAATAGGGCGATGATAGAAATATTATGTATAAACAATTTTTTAGGTTGATATTTCCAATTCCATTGATGAACTCATAACTTAGCAATG